CCGCTATTATATATTTTCAAATATAATCGATCATTTAAAAATTTAATCGATCATAATGAAAACTTACATTAACTATTTTTTTGAATATTATGTTTTTAAATTTGCTAATAGAGAAAACGTTTGAGAATTCAAAATGTTAAATACTTTTAAATATTAAAATTGACTTTATAAAAAATTAGGAAAAAAAATTAATCCAAAAGAGTTCAAAAATGTATTATAATATTTTCAGTTTTAGTTTAATTATATTTTTCATTCTCAAAGTAGAAAAATATATTGTAATTATTTTAATTTAATAAAATATAATTTAAAATTTTAATACTAAAATTAAAAGATTAAATAATAAAAAATATAATTCTTTAAATTTAGTATTTAGAAACTAAAATTATAGTTTCTCTGTTTTAAAAAATTAAAATAAATATTTAAAAATAAAAATCAAAACTAGTATTATTTTAAATTTATTAAAAGTATAATTAAATCTCTATTTTCTTAATTTTTTTTTTAAACTTCTCAATTCTACATTTTTGTAAATTCTATCATTATATTATCATCCTCATCTCCTCCCATGTTCTACTTTATCTTTACAATAATTAATATTTTTAAAAAATTTATATTTTTATTTATAATTTTTTAATATATAATTGAGAAATTAATCAATTATAATCTATTATTTGAAAAACTAATAAATTCTAATCAATTATTTAGAAAACTAATCGATTATAATTAATTATTTGAAAAAATGATCGAATATAATCGATTGTTTGAAAATTTAATCGATCATAATGAAATATGTGGTTGTATATGATAGCGGTTCCACTTGAACCACTCTTAAAAGTGAACATCTAATAACGGTTAAACCTTAACCGCTATCTAAATTATATTTTAGATATTTAGATAGCGGTTAACGTGAAACCGCTATTATATATTTTCAAATATAGTCCATCATTTGAAAATTTAATCGATCATAATGAAAACTTACATTAACTATTTTTTTGAATATTATGTTTTTAAATTTGCTAATAGAGAAAACGTTTCAGAATTCAAAATGTTAAATACTTTTAAATATTAAAATTGACTTTATAAAAAATTAGGAAAAAAATTAATCCAAAAGAGTTCAAAAATGTATTATAATATTTTCAGTTTTAGTTTAATTATATTTTTCATTCTCAAAATAGAAAAATATATTGTAATTATTTTAATTTAATAAAATATAATTTAAATTTTTAATACTAAAATTAAAAGATTAAATAATAATAAATTTAATTCTTTAAATTTAGTATTTAGAAACTAAAATTATAGTTTCTCTATTTTAAAAAATTAAAATAAATATTTAAAAATAAAAAAATCAAAACTAGTATTATCTTAAATTTATTAAAAGTATAATTAAATTTCTATTTTCTTATATAATTTTAGAAAAATTTTAATGAAAATCCAATATATAAAAAAGTTAAAATTTTTAAAAGGCACAACCTTAACTTATATTAACTGTTTTTTTGAAAAAACTGACAAGAAAAACTTGGATTTGAAAAAAAAAGTTAATAATTTTGAAGTTATTTAAGTGATGAAGTTTCCAAATGTGATCTGTGAATTTATTGAGTAAAATTGGAGGTAGGTTGAATATAAATTTAAATATATTTTTAATTTATTTAAATATGGTTTATTTTTAGTATTTATAAAATAGATTAGTTTTAAATTTTTAACTTTTCTAGCAGTCTGTTTTTAATCTTTGTTATTAATTATGTTAGAAATGAAAAAAATATTAATTAGTATACTTAAACTAATGTATATTGATTATCTAATGTATATTGATATAATTTTTTTGTATATCAATTATATGAAAATAACCATGGTTAAGTAATTAATAATAATAAAGCAATAAATTTAATGATTAGATTAAAAATAAAGTTTTATAAAATAAAATTGTAATAATTTGATTAAAATTTTATTTTTTTAATTAATTAAGTTAATGAGGAATTAATATGTGATCATTTGATGTGTTTAATTTTTTTAATATAAATTTTTAAAATATAATTTAATTTCAATTGAAATTTTCAATTGAAAAATAAATTAAAGAATATTTATTATTAAACTTTTCTTAAACAATGTACTGAATAGTTAATATTACTCTAGTCTTAATTTATTACAATTTAAATTTTTAATAAATTTGATTTATTTTTAATAATATTTTTATTTTAGTAATTTAAAATTAAACTTAATCTTCATTTTGTTAATATTGAGACCAAAGTTTATTTTTAAAGTATCTTTTAAAAATTAAATTACTTTTAAAAATTAAATTGTAAAAATTATACTAAAACAATTAAAGTATATTTATAAAAAAATAAATTTAAATATAATAAAAAAATAATGTTCGTTAGCGACCAATTTAAATTCGGTCGCTATTTTCTCATTAGCGACCGATTTTAATTCGGTCACTATTTCAATTTGTAATTAGGTCGCTAAATCAGTCGCTAAATGATTTTTTTATTTTAGTGTGGAATAACCATCGATTTAGCGACCAAAAATTTGTGACGCAAACTATTGGTCGCTAACTAAAAAATATGAAGCCAAATTATATTTCGATGGCTAAATCGATCGTTAAATTGTGACCGAATTAATTCGATCGCTAATTCAGTTGCTAATAGCGACCGAATTGAATCGGTTGCTAATTGCGATCGAATTAAACCTGTCGCTAAATCGGTCGCTAATTGCCACCGAAAACATTTGGTCACTAATTTCTAGTCGCTAAATGTGTTTTTTCTTGTAGTGTTATTTCTTCAAGAACCAATGTAAAAGAAATTGATATTAAACATAAAGATACTATATTTATTATATTAACCAATGTAAAAACTTCATAAATTATTAAAAATTATCACCATATTTATATTTAAATTGATTATCATATAATCAACATAAATAATAATTTTACATTAATTGTTATTATTATTTGTAAATTTTAGATTAGTGTGAAAAAAATATATATATATTTTTCTCATAGAAAATTTTATATTTCCATGTAATATAATAATCCATTTTTCCTTTTTTTTTCTCTCTAGAAATTTCTTGCTTTCAATTCTACTTTGTAATAATACAAACAAAACATCACTGTTGCATCATTGAGCCAAAGTATTAGCAGGGAAACGAGAGAGAGGCATTCATAAATCATAAGCCGAAGACCAAAAACCTAATTATCACCTAACTGGCTTTGAACAGCGGATTGGACTTTAAAAATGGTTTATTTCCACCAAACCCATGTGTGTAAAGTAATGCTACCAGCATATGCTACTCTACTGCGTCGTAACAGTATATTTTGAACTGTCGAGCCTCTCTATCTGCTACTAAGTTTATGATGGAGAAAAAAAAAATTTCCTGGAGATGGAGCCTCTATATCTGCTACAAAGTTGCTTAGAATAAGTAAAAATTATTTATCTAAAATAATAATTTTTTTATTTATATAATTCTTTCAAATAACTTTGAAATATTTTATAAAAGAAGGTGAACTTAATACCAAAAAAAAGAAAGAGAGTCGTGAAGTTAAAATTCATTATTAATAAAAGTTAATTTAGTATATTATAGTATTACTTAAAAAATTCACATATTTTTTATTTTTATTTGTTTGTGTAATTATGTTACAAATGTTATGTCGTTAAACAAGATGATTTTGAGAATCCAATGAAAATGTAAATATTTTTAGAATACTATAATAAGCTAAATTTTACATATATTCATTTAACAGCTCATGCTTAATATTATAATAATAATACTAATAAATATATAATATAATATTCTATTATTATTATTATTATTATTATTATTATTATATTAAAAGGGGTTGTTCAATTATTGTTTTTGTTAAATAGAATTATTAATGTTTTTTTTTCATATTATATTGATAGAAGTAGTTTAACAATTTTGTTTTTCTCATTCGTAATTGTTTTTGCACGCTATATCATGCTATTCTGACACTGCAATGTTACCCGTTAATGACTATTTATTAAATGCCATTGAATCTCTCTGAAATAAATTGCATGCTCCCTTTGCTTAGCATGTATGTTACCGTTGGCAACTTAATGCCAATCCCGTTGACATTTCTTAACATTAATTTAAACAATAAAACCCACCTTATAACAACAAAATACTACTAGTAATAATTTTTTACACACCTAAAAAAAATATATTTTTTGCGACTGATTTTCTTCTAAAATGATTTTTATACTCTTATCAGATAATAGCTAAATATTTTAAGAAGGGATCTATGAAGTGATTTTTCTTTCTCCAAAAACTATGTATGTTATTATTATTATTCTATGATAATAACATCAGGTTGTTGGAAATTTATTTGCCTGTGACAGGAAAAACTTTACTTGCTGATGTTGTTTTTAATATGGACAGTGATAAATAATTGTTGTATAATAAAACCAGGTTGTTGTATATTTATTTGCCTATGACAGAAAAGTTTTATTTGCTGATGTAACTTTTAATGGTGGACAGCAGAAAACATAGTTTTAGGTGAGTGCTTGCAATGCCCGATTTTACCTTAAAATTTCATTTTGTTATATTCAATAATTCAAAAATAAAACAGTGACAGTAGCAACCACCAAACACAGAGTTGCCCGTGAGTCTTGAATTCTGAATCAAACATAGTAAGAAACCCCATACCATTGGCAACTGGAATGTAATGAAAACCATACTGAAAAAGATAAGTATTTGCTTCTGAGTTCTCACAGTTTAATGGCAAATATGAAGCCACAAATTTGGGAAAAGTATAACACAAAAGCAAAACAAAAGTTACGGTTACCATAAGTAGAGAAGAGACAGAAATACCGTTTTGAAAGCAACAAAGTAACAATGAATAAACAATATTTGCTATGTAACAATTTTCTTGTTCCAATTTCCATTATGTCGTGGTAAGAAAACGACAAAAGACTACAACTGATGAATCATGAAATAGAAACAGATAAATAATTCCCTTTTCCTCAATTAAGATGCGTGGATGAGTAATGGCACTACCAGAAACAAGAGGAAGAGTCGATTTTGCGATTGTGGGCATTGAGAAGGCGTGAAAACCTTCTCCTGCGGTAATAGAAGCCGCATTTGATTCTGATCCTTGAAAACACCAATCTCCTAAGTTTCTTAGCAGATCGCAGCCTTAGCCAGAGAACCTTCTTGACACGAACCAAAGACCCTTTGACTCTCTCTTTCAGACTCTTCTTTCGACAGAACTGATAGCTTCTCAAGAACAATTGCCTCTTCTCCATCATAGTGTAGCTGTGCTCGGCCTCAGGATAGTAATGCCCGAAAGACTCACTTCTGAATAACGGGTTCAGACTAACACTACCCATCACATTCTCGCTACCTTTCTTCTGATTATTACGAATGAGTATCATGGTGGCACCCAAAGGACGGTCTGAAAAGTTAAGACAGAAAAAACAAAAAAAAACAGATAGAACAAAACAATTCTAAAATTTAGCGCCATTAAATAGCAGAGAGAGTAAATGGTTTGGTTACGTACGTGACAATACACAGAAAAGAATGGAAAAGGGGTATGAATGAACTGTAGAGATTCGACGCACCTTATTGTTGCTTGCAACGCGAGCCAAGCAATGCGCCGCCGCAATAGCAAAAGCTAAAGACAAGTCCTTTTTTCTCTAGTCCCTTCCCATGCTATGCTATACTATGCGATTATTGGTTGGTTTCGTTGTACTCTTTGTTCTTGAGAAAGCGTAACCACTTTAACACGTGGATCCTTAGATAGGTTCTTGTTTTTTTTTAATGAACGGTCACGTGTCTTTTGCGCTCTCACCACTTTTTTATTACTTTTTTTTCGTTGTTATATTTTTAATTCTCTCCTTCATCACCAAAAAAAAAACTTTATTACTACATTTTGTAAACAAAAAATGTTATTTTGACATTGATTTACATTAAAATTTGTTATTGTTACACATGATTACGTTCATATACAATTAACGAAGTGAAAGTTGAAAAACACGGACTTAATTTTGACATTTTGAAATGATAGATTTTACTGTTATTTTTCTTGGTATATTTGAGTGTGGCATGAATATGTGAGTGAGCATTAAGGCAATCACACGACGACATCCACTTCTCGTGGTTGGATGGTTGGGTTAAATTAGAGTCATCCTTATCCTCAAAGTTCCGATAAAGGGGGGAAAAGCTTTGGTAGTTTTGGTCAATGGTGAGGGTCTAAAGCGCCTATGTGTCCTTTGACGTGTAACACTAAATGCAAGGAAGACTACAAATCTTTGCACACAAGTGACTACAGCGGAATCCGAATCAATAAATGGCTATATTAATTGTAAAAACCCTTTTGATGATATGTACTACTTTATTACAGGATTAATGATCATAATAAATAATTGGTTGGATGTATGAATTGGAAATGAGGAATTCATGCAGCATAATAAGCAATTGAGCTAAGGTAGAGTTGTTGTTCAAAGAATTATACAAATTAACAATTGAATCAGCGTGATACGCTACGCAACGCGTGGGATAAAACACTGTTTGTGGTTGTTGAAAGAGTTAGATAAGAAATTTTAGTTCAGTTCTCTTGGTTTCTTACCGATCAACGTAGGTGCAACCAACTCTTTGATTTCGCATCTTTTAAACTAGAAAACATCATTTTTCTCTGTTGATTTTTCTTTTTTGTTAATGCTGCGTCACCAGATGATTTTTTTTTTGTTTTTTTAATGACTTCAAAAATCTACGCTACTAGAACTCAGGATTTTGTGCCACCTTGTTGGAAATAACACTTTATTTGTAAAGTCTTAACCGTGAACAAGAGAAGTAGGTCGATGAGATAATACGACAAGAAATCCGTGTTTTAGACTTGACCAAGTTTGAACAGGCTTTTCACGAAATTCGTCAGTTTCATTTGTTAGAAGTTTTAATCCAAGCAAAAGGAAAAATGAGTTAAAAGTTGTCTCCTAGCAAATGAAACTAGTGAGTTGTTTGAAATATATGTTGTTTAACTGAGTCCTAATGTAACTATTTGGAGTAGGAACAATTTACTTACTGTTGATAACAATTGATAACTTGACAATGTATCATTATATCATTAAGGTTCGGGCGCAGAGGAGGGAAAATATTTAAAAGTAGACTAATCGTTTAGGTTTAAGAAACTGTTATGAACATCAAAATCAAATTACTACTATTTTACCTGTGAATCACACTCAATTATTTGTAATAATTTTGAAACAGAAAATTCAAAGAAGAACGAGATTACGTCTTTCACCGATATAGACTCTATCAAACTTGTCACATATATATTACAGAATCACAGTCATAAAAGCTTTCAAGGTCTTCCCTATGAGTTATGAGTATCAGTCACGCGCTTCATTAAGACAATCATTTTCAAACGTTTTGTCATCAACAACCACAAGCATGACCACCACCACCCCGTAACATCATGGTCAAACCCAAAGTGAAAAGAAATATCTAAAATCCCTAAATGACGAAAATAGAGGTGATATTTGGGATCTTAAGCTCTTGTGGCTATTTATCCATCTCCTCATTAACCACACATACCAACCCATTGCAAGAACCAAACATGATGGAATAGTACATAATAGGAACTTAGGATATTATTAAGTGTCTAAATCTCATTAACTATATATAAAATGGTTGGAAGAGTATTTAAGTTTCCTTTACTTGTTCTAAAGTTATATGAATGACATCCATATAAAATAGACCGTAATCTTATTCATGTTTTCAGTAAAATAATATTTGTTTATATTACTTTTAAATAGATATTCACTTACCACATATTTTTGATAAATAACACTCGCATCTCTTATCTTATTAATTAAATTTCTAGGAGCGAAACGTTGTAAAACATGAAGCTAAAAATTTGGTTACAAGAGTTTGCCTACAAAAGTTATAGAAAACTTTCCGTTGGCAAGAATGGTTAAGACGAAGCTTTCACTCACCGATAAAATGAACCGTAATTTTTCCACTCAGTAGTACAAATTGTAATGATTCTGATAAAACCCTCAACAATAATATCTACAGTATCAAACTGAATAAACATAACGCGATTTCACGAACGTAAAAAACGACAACGTTGTTGCTATTAGCATCAAAACGAACCAGAATTTGAACCAGAACCAACATCTTATAGTGCATGGGAGAAAAGAATCAATTAATTCTAAATCAATATTTTAGTATTTTTCATGCTTAAACTCTGGGGCATGTCAACAAGTTCCGTATCTACAATTTACACACAGGACACAACAAATTGGAGACAATTACAGTATAAAGACCGAGACTGATATTCAAGGACTGCTTTGCTTAGGAGTGAGGCCGACTAGTTTACACAAATGTATGATGACATGATCTGCTTAATTTCATTATCAGGATTTAAGAAACCACAATCATAGTTCTTTCCAAGCACAGAAGTTGGATGCCCCTCTAATCTCCTCCTGCGATAACATTTTTCCCATTAAACCTGCCACTGAATATCCATCATGATCATCTACCACCAGCTTGATCAGCTGCAGGAACTTCTTCAGGGTAGCTGGATACATCCAAGTCAATGAGGGTCAAATCGTATGGTTCCAATGCGGAATTTGACATATCAACAAGCAAGGAAGATTTCGTTGCACTAGAATTTGAGGCGTCCGGGGTTGAATTTGAGGGAGTGCTACTGGTAGAAGAAGACAAACTTGAGAGCTGTATGTCATCTAACTTGTTTCCAAGCATATTCTTATTTCTTCTCGCGGAATCCATCTCAGGGCCAATTGGAACAAAAGTTCGTGACCTGTACTTCTTAGCTCCCTCCTCACCTTCGCTGTGATTATAGAGAACATATTCGTGATACGTTGGTGCAAACTGCCACAAGTTTAACTAGTATCAGATTATCCGCAGATAAAATACGAATAAGAAAAGGAGAGTCAGAAATTTCAACAAGAATATGGGGAACTAGAAATGCATTGCAGCATAATTGTGTCAAAGCCAGGCGTTAAGCTTGATCAAAATGTCATGTTAACAGTGTCCATAAAAACCAGACAGAACATACAAAGCATTACTTACCTGATGCACTGTATCATGGTAAAAATCATTTAACTTCAAAGCATGCCCAAGGCTAGCAGTCAAACCACGGGATCCACCTATATTGGCACCGGCATATTCTTTGTATGGAAATGCATAAAAATGACCTACAGCAGCAACAAGCATCTCAACGCAAATGATAAAATTTTGAAGTAGGGCAGCTTCATCTGCATCCTCAATGAATCCCGACTTTGCAGCAAGGAAGAATAACACACCCTAAGAAATGAATTAAAATAAAATATCACCCGGCTTCAAACCTCATAAATAAATAAAAAGATAACAGTAGAACCATGCAACACCAAACTAACACAGTCATCTTGTAATTCTAAATAATCTAATAGCAAAGCATTGTGAATTCAATAAAAATAATATAAAATGAAGCTATTAGACTTTTTGGCAACATGTTAAATAAATGTCATAACACATGCATACATGAGTGTCATTTCTCTTCTTCTTTTTAATTATTATGTCATTAACCGTGGCCTCAAAGAAGTGTATATACCATTAAGTAAAAAAGGGAAATAGCAAAACTAGAGAAACCAATGCAACAGGAGGGCAGATGAAAATTATCGGTGACTGAAGACATTCACAAACAAATCAATTCCTAAAATTTAAGCTATGCTGGTGTGTGAGAAGAAAACTAACACACCAAACCCAACATCTGTTCAGTAAAGAAATATTATTTTATATCACAGAATTTACGATGCAAAATAATTATTTTTCTTCAATTAAAGCGATGAAGGCTTTTGTTCCAAACAAATAACAGCCTGTCTCAATATCAAATGGGCATATATCCTCATTTTACATGACACTCACATCCTTTATAAATATAATTTCCACTCTTCGTATACCAAAACGATGTCACTATTTTTTCTGTTCTTCCTACATTACCATACAACCAGCAACAAGATGTAGTTGAAATTATTTAAGAGAAAATAATGGACAACAAATATGAATGAGATATAAAATCACCTGCCAATAAGTCAGGAATACAACAGATTTTATTATAATAAACTTGGGAACTGGATTGAATGGCTGAAGCAGATCCTTGCATGCCACATAAAACAAAGCAAGCACGTAGAGAGCCATTGTATATGAGATCATATAAATGATCGTTAGATACAAGTATGACTGTTTTGGGCTGAAATTTCCATCTTTATACTTCCCGTTTGCATAAAGTATGAGTGTAACAACAACTAAAATGGGCTTCAAAATCACAAACTGCAAACACCCTTGCTTGCATTTACGAATGAAACGCCTGAAATAGAAGTTTTGAAAGTGAGATATGAAAGTATATTTTGATATAATATCATGCCACCGTGTTAGAACTCTCTACTAGAATCCATTGCCCTCTGAAATGTCTAAGTTGTTTTTCAATAAATAATCCATCAAAATAATTCTCCACATTGTGTGGCAAATGCATCATCCTAGTACTTAAAAGTTACAAAATAGGTAATTAACAAAATTCCATATAAAATTCAAGGGATAGTTTTCAAGGAATATATAACTTTATTCTCGTAAAAAGGCAATTAATAAAAAATATGAATCAGACACAAACCCACCCATCCAGCGGTATAGGAGGAAAGCAACAAGTCATCAGACAGAATGATGGCTTCATAACTCGACCACTCAAACTTATTACAACTGCTCCAGGACCTCCAACCCATGCCAGACACAGTGATAGAAAATTGTAAATGACCCAAGCTTCATAGCTGAAACCATAGACAAAAGAAATCAATTAAGAAATTCACCAGTCTAATAAACATAGATCAGCAAAATCCATTATAATTTTAGGACAAAAATTTGCAAGGTGCACTTACATTTCAAAAATAAAATAAAATGTAGTAGAGAAGTACACTAAAGAATGTAAATGTGAATAAAATCACACTAAATAGGATTAAGGGGGGAGGGGGGGGCTATTGCCTTCTCATCTTGTGCTTACATATGCAAATGCCGCTGAAGTAGCAGTAGCAATCATCTATACCACCTCAGTTACATCAACAATAGAAAAATGTTACTTTTCTTAAGCATTGTTTGGAAGCTACTGACTATAATCACAAAAGCCTTATCATCCCAGTAGGTGAGGTCAACTATATATGAATCACACAATGTCATTCGATATTGTTGAAGACCAAGTTTTCAAAGATATTATTTACCATACGATAGCCTCTAAACAACTTCTCATAATATCCTTCCGAGTCTCTCTCTGCCCTTTCCACAAGACGAATCAACTTCCCCCCCACCGTTGCTTTCAATGCTCTTCTTTGTATGTTTCCTAACTAGCTTAACCAGTACAACACCAATATCCCCTTGCATGTAATCATATCGTATCATGTCTTTTCTTGTGTGGTCACACATTCATTTTAACATTCTCACTTTTACTGCTCTCACTTTTTTCTTATTATCCCTTTGAAATCCAACAATCACTGCCAGTACCAGAGTATAGATGTAAGGCAATATGATAAAGCTTGGCTTTAAGCTTAGTAGGTTCTTTGCAATCACAATAACACCCATCCATTTTAGCCATGCCCTGGAAGTTACTGAATAAAAAGGTAAAAATTTAAGCAACCCATATATATGCTCTGAGGAAAGATCAATCTATTTGAAGAATTGAATTACCCAAATTTAATCCTAGAAATTTGTATCTATTTAGAGTAAGATACCAGACCAGATAGTTCTAAATGGAAAGACAAGAACTACTTCTAAGGCTTCCCAAGTCAAAATTAGTGTAGAATAATAATATCCAATTCATGTATCACTAGTAACCATTAATCACATAAATTACAACCAAAATAGAGAAAAAGAAAAGGAATTCAGACTAAACATCAGCAAGAACCAAGTAAATAGAGAAAGAAGGATCAACTTACACTTCCCGAATAGAATTAAAATAGATTGAACTCTCAGGTACCACGAGGGACAAGAATGACATTAGCGCATAAACCTGTAAAAGAAAATTAAATTAATAATAGTTTAAAATGAATCATTAAAAGAAATGTTACATAACTCAAAATGCTGGTACTCCCAGTGGAATTTCAAGAGAGCCAAGATACGAAAACGAAGAAGAAAGTAAAGAACCAAACAAATGTCATGAAACACACAGGCAAGAGCTGTGCTGGTAACTGCAATTAACAAGAAACAGGAGAACTTGGTCTTCACGCACATCAAACACAGTAAGTAACATCGTGTTTGGAGGAGTGTCCATGCTCCCTCAACTTGCATTCAGAAGTCACAAATGGGATTGTGCAAAAAAAAAAATTTATCACGTTTGTCAAGAAACGGAAAATAAAAAGTAGCTTATGAGTTGAGGAGCAAATTTAATTCCATGTTTCACTACAGACTTGCTTTAGAAATAATTGTACTTAACTTCAAGTTTCAAACTCAATTTTAACCAAAAACAATTATACTAAATCAAGGCAGCATCAAGTTTGCAAACCCACTCCTCGCCGAAGCACAAACTAAACAGAATTGGCACACAACAAAATAGTTAAACAATTAAGTCAGCCAGTCACCAAGCTGTGGTGAAGAAAATTCAGTTCCCGGAAACATAAACTTTCTGCATTAAGATGATGAATAAGGAACACCACACAATCTGATAACCCCAATTAACATTCCCGTCCCTACGTTTCCAGTGAAGAAGGTCAAAGGTTTTTCACTGAAGTGAAATAATTAGACCAATTACCAAAAGACAATAAATTGGGGCAGTGAAAAGGAACCCTAGTAGAAACCATCAGATGAATGAATTGAAAAAGTGAGTAACTTACCGGGACCATGAAAATAATCCGAACGATGAAGCGCTGATAAGTGGGCTCAGTGTAATTGAGAAGGTGTCGGTAAATGTGAAGAACGGCCAGAGCGATAGCTGCAACGGTGCAAAAGAAAGCGACGATATAGAAGAAAAGTGGCACCAGAACCCCCATTCTGGGTTCCCTTCAAGTGCTTCCGAAAGCGAGAACCCTAATTAGAATAGAGGATTGATGGAAAGGGAAGAAGGGAAAGAGGGAGGATCCGCCAAGTTTGAAGGGAATAATTGGAGAAGAAGATGAATATGAATGCTTCACTGGCAACAATAATGGTGACTGCTGGCTTCCCAAGAAAAATCAAAATTGAAAACCGATAATTACCGCTATGCTTATACATGCTTCTTTTTCTTTACTTCAGCAATTAATTTCATTTTAAATTTCCTTTAACTAATAATTGTGTTTTTAAATACCATGATGGTATCATTTTAAGCGTTTTAGGTTTTTATTATCATGCGATATTTTGTCATTATTAATAAATTTAGTTTTTTTTGAATAAAATTTGTTGACATAATATTTAATTGGAATATATAATTTTTTATTTTAAATAAAAGTATAACCAAAAGCAATTTTACAGATTAAAAAAATTGATAAATATAACTTGTTTAAAAACATATTTTAGACAATAAATCTTCGTTAAGAAAATAAAAATAAAACAGTTATTACTAAAATTAAAATTTTGAAGAAGAAAATGATTGCACTGTCAAAACAATGTACTGTTGAGTCTTAGTTTTACCATTCGCAAACAAACTACGCGTGCATTACACGCTGTTGTCACGAGTTTCTCCATCAGACCCTTCCGTCCAACACGCTAGGAGAAAATTCATTAACAATGTTAATTAATTAAAGGTTAAATTATAGAAATATATCGTTATACTAATATTAATATGATAACAGTGTAGTTTGAGCACATTTGAGTCAAACAGCAATTTGGGCTAACCATGACTGAGCCTGACACACCACAAAATATAAATGTTCTTGGCATAACCCCCTTTTTGTTATTGGCACCCTCTTGCTTGAGTTTTTATTTTGACAAAAACACATTCCCATCGATCACAGTACACCATGCATATTTATTTGTTTGGGTTAGATTAGTTTCTCATAATAAGGAAATTGGATTGGTTTGAAATAAAAACACATACATTTGTATTCTTAGAAAACAAAAACGATTATAATTTGTATAGACATGGAATTCCGAGAGTGGAAATATGAGAGGATAAGGGGAATTTTTGAAATGTAAAATATCTAGTCATCGAGACTCCATATATCTTCACTAAGCGGAGCGAGGTGGAGGTTTGAAAGGCCATACATTCATTCCCAAACGACGTGGCCTCTCACCACTCCCCCTTATCATCTCCTTCTCTCTCTCACACACACTCTTTCTTCCTAACAAAAATGGCTTCTCTCATTGGCGTTTCTTCCATATACCAAATCCCTACTCTCGAACTTTACCAGAGGCCAAACGCTGCTTCCACTTCTTCCGTTAGGTTGCAATCTTTGGACTCCAAGTCTCACTTCAACAACCTCCTCCGAGCGCACCGTCACTCCTCTGGGCCCCCCTTCAAAACGGGCCTCAAGCCCACTCCCACTTTCCTCCCCTCCGCCGTCGCCACGCCCAATTCCTCCCTCCTTAGCCAAGAAGCCTTCAAAGGACTTGCCCGCGACTTCGACCAAAACGATATCGAGTTCCAACCCGCCGGACCCACCAACACTGACGAACTCGACATTTCCAAGCTCGACTTGCCCTCGCGCCTCGTCGATTCTCTCCAGAGCCGTGGGATTACTCACCTTTTCCCCATTCAGGTTCGTTTCTCTTCCTTACTTTTTACTTGTTAGGGTTGCACTAGCGGTTTATCATCAACATTTAGCTTCATTTTGTGCGTGATTAGAGAGCCGTGTTCGTACCTGCACTAGAAGGGAGAGATATCATTGCCCGAGCGAAGACCGGTACTGGAAAGACACTAGCGTTCGGCATTCCAATTATCAAAGGCCTCACTGAAGATGAACAAGAACCTTCTCTCAGGTAATCATTTTTCATGTACTGCACTATGCTTCGTATAACTTTAAGTATTGGTTTAATTAATCGACTGGTCCTGTACCGTGTAGAATGTTCATGTGCCAACTTTTCATGTTAGTCATAATAACCAAAATCTCTACGTTTTAGTCCCTATACAAACTATTTTTATACGTTTTAGTCCCTGTTGTTAGTTTTGTGGTGCCACAAAATGGAGGCACATGGACTAAAATGTATAAAAAAAAAAAAAAAAAAAAAAAACTGTTATAGGGACTAAATCGTAGGGTTTTAGATATAGGGGTTAAAATAAAAAGTTAATGCAGGCATAGGGACGTAATGATTAATAAGATGGTTGTTTTCGTGGCCATATTCATGCGGTTGTTTCTATGTTGCAGAAGGTCTGGTAGGCTTCCCAGAGTTTTGGTGCTGGCACCTACAAGGGAGTTAGCGAAGCAAGTGGAGAAGGAGATTAAGGAGTCTGCGCCTTATCTCAACACTGTTTGTGTTTATGGCGGTGTTTCTTATGTTAGTCAGCAGAGTGCGCTTTCTCGAGGTGTTGATGTGGTGGTTGGGACGCCAGGGAGAATAATTGACTTGATTAACGGGAACAGCCTTAAGCTGAATGAGGTTCAGTATTTGGTGCTTGATGAAGCGGATCAGATGCTTGCTGTTGGGTTTGAAGAGGATGTGGAAGTGATTTTGGAGAATCTCCCTTCTCAGAGGCAGAGCATGCTTTTCTCTGCCACCATGCCTGCTTGGGTGAAGAAGTTAGCGAGAAAATATCTGAACAACCCCCTCACAATTGATTTGGTGAATTTTTGTTACTTTTGTTTGCCTTATACTCTGATAATGATATTATATATACATGCATGTAGTCAATTGATGACTTTGTTTATAGAATGCAGTGTAAACAGAATACTACAGCATATGATCGTGTCAAAAATATATTATATCTACAATGACATTTTTAGAGTGTGGTATGAATTTAATTATTAAAGACATTTTCTAATGCTGTCCGGAGTTTTTCTAGAGTGTCGTTTAGGTGCTCATATAACTAAATGTGACAAAATAGGTGGATAACATATTCGCCTTGATAAACTTATATTGCTTGCAAGAATACACCATAATATTTTAAAGTTAGTGTGGTGAAATTTCTGTCATTTGTCTTGATACATGCTATGCTATGTTTGTTTGGCACAATAGATTTGGATAGAAAAGAAAGGAAATATTTATGTTTGAGGACTACATCACAATCTAGATGCATCTTCGTTTGGTCTTCAAATTCATTCTGGTTAGCATTAGCTTTAATTACTTTTGGTTTTCCTGACCCTGTTGTCAAATAATTCAGGCATAATTGTGCATGCTAATCTTTAAGTTGGTGTATAATGAGAATCTAATATTGTATGATGCATTTTAATCTGAAAATCATGTATCATGCTTATATGCTTTCGCTTTTTTTTTTTTTTTTTTTTTCAAACAGGTTGGTGATGAAGAAGAAAAGCTTGCTGAAGGGATAAAACTTTATGCTATAGCAGCCACGGCCACTTCAAAGCGATCAATTCTTTCTGATCTTGTAACTGTGAGTTATCAGTTAAATTATCCTATCATGGTTTGATGTTCGTAATCTTTTCAGTTTGCATTCTGAGGGTGTCTGTATAGTCATTACATTGAATTATATTACTAGTTGCTACTTTAAGTAACAAATAGTATATCCAATAAGTTCAAACTGTTATGTTGAATATTTAATACAATATTGTATTTAAAACAGATGATCTGATAATTAACAAATCCATCATCCTTATTGGGGGGAGGGGTCAATAATTTCATCCACTGTTCCTTTGTCTTTCAGGTTTATGCAAAGGGCGGGAAGACTATAGTTTTTACACAGACAAAAAGAGATGCTGATGAAGTATCATTGGCATTAACAAATAGTATAGCGTCTGAAGCACTGCATGGTGATATATCCCAGCATCAGAGAGAGAGAACATTGAATGGTTTTCGGCAAGGAAAATTCACAGTGCTTGTTGCTACTGATGTTGCAGCTCGTGGACTGGATATTCCCAATGTTGATTTGGTTAGTCCATATGATACTTTGCAGTCCACATTTAACAATTTGATCTTCGTCGTGGACTTGTTATTTGTTAGTTTAGATTTAGTGCCAACTGAGGCTGTGAATTGATAAAGCAAAATGCTTGAGTAATTTTATGCTCTTGCTTGGGGTTTTTAATAGTGGATTCAGGATCTAGTTATCATTTTTTTGGAATCTTGGGTTTAGTAGTTTGGGATGTCTTATCCCTAGACCGGACTAGAATTCATTGCCTATTCTAAAGTGTGATTTGTGTAGTTTTTTTGGGTGCTTTCCGTAGTAAAATTAAGATCTCCCATTTCGTGAAGGTGATTTCCACTACATTTGACTTTTTCTTTGGTCTTTTTCACTGTTCACTGTCTCATTGAACATGAATTTAGAATTTTGTATTAGATACAATGTGTAAACTATGGACATAAAATGGTTTTATTTTAATTTCATGTTTAATTATTTCTCCACAATCTTGAATCTGTTCAGGGATGTTTAAAATCTTTATATGAATTGGAAGTTTCTCTTCTATTGTCTTGGTCTTGTACTGAAATGTTATCTGTTCTTATTCAGATTATCCATTATGAGCTCCCCAATGATCCTGAGACTTTCGTACATCGCTCTGGTCGTACTGGTCGTGCAGGAAAACATGGTACTGCCATTCTATTGTACACCAGTAGCCAGAGGAGAACAGTTAGATCCCTTGAACGTGATGTAGGCTGCAAGTTTGAATTTGTTAGTCCACCAGCTATGGAAGAGGTCTTGGAGTCATCTGCTCAGCAGGTTGTTGCCACACTTACTGGAGTTCATCCTGAGTCTGTTCAGTTTTTCACCCCAACTGCACAAAAACTGATCGAAGAACAAGGAACAAGTGCCCTTGCAGCTGCACTAGCACAACTTAGTGGGTTTTCTCGACCTCCATCATCGCGGTCTCTTATTACCCACGAACAGGTGTTGTGAATCTTATATTTCCAAGCATGTTATCCAGTCTAACAAGTAACATCTTTCTAAATGTTGTCTTTGTTTTAAATAGCATAATACTTGTTATTGAACCAGGGTTTTCGATTTAACTAATTGCTCAGAATGACATTCCAGTGTGATCTTTATCTTTAAGCATTTAAAACTACTTTCAGCTGGGTCATTCACTAGTTCATGGATGTAACAGAGCATGGCTTGTAGATATATCGCTATGTCTTATTATGTGTAAAATTATTATCTAAATAAGGGCATACTACCTGGAACAAAAACGACAAGTTGCATGTTTTTCAGTTGATCTTTAACATTGTGCTTTTTTTAAAAGAATTGTTTTGTATTTCAGGGATGGACTACGTTGCAACTAATTAGGGATTCAGATAATACAAGATATTTTTCAGCAAGATCGGTCACTGGGTTTCTTTCTGATGTTTTTTCGTCAGCTGCTGATGAAGTTGGAAAAATCCATATAATTGCAGATGAAAGGGTTTGTATCTGAGTTATTTTTCTCTTTTTATTCTCTGTACTTGTCTTACTTTGAATCTCAATCCTCTTGGGCATGCACCCACACAGTTCAAACGTTTGACATTGTGGCAATACTTCACATCAGGTTCAAGGAGCTGTTTTTGATCTTCCTGAGGAGATTGCTAAAGAGTTACTTAATAAGGACATACCACCTGGAAACACCATTTCCAAGATCACCAAGGTATATGACAATATTTGTATTGTAATTCTTTGTTGTCTCTGCCTGTTTTCTTCCCCATATATCGGTACCGATTTATCGCACAACTTTATATAAAGGCATTGCATGTTACTTTGTATTGGCAGCTACCTCCTTTGCAAGACGATGGGCCTCCAAGTGATTTCTATGGGAGGTTCTCTGACAGAGAACGAAGTAACCGAAGAGGTTCTACTTCTAGAGGAGGTTTTACTTCTAGGGGAGGTTTTGCTTCTAGGGGAGGTTCTACTTCTAGGGACCGAAGAGGTTTTAAAACCTCACGGGGATGGGAGGGGGAAGACTCTGATGATGACGACTTCAGTGATCGATCTAGTAGGAGAGGTGGTAGAAATTTTAAGACTGGCGGCAACAGCTGGTCTCGAGCATCAGGTAAAAGCAGTGGGGATGATTGGCTGATTGGAGGTAGACGATCGAGCAGGCCTTCATCATCTGACAGGTTAGAATAGTATACAATGATCAAATAATTCTTTAAATTTTGTTTGGTATTTTCATCCTCTACTTTATCAAGTCTATGTATGACATATGACATGAATGTGCATTGCCAGATTTGGAGGGGCCTGTTTCAATTGTGGGGAATCTGGGCATCGAGCATCAGATTGTCCAAGCACTTCAAACCGGCGAAGCTTTTTCTAAGTTCCCACCTTTTTTTGGGGCGGCGCTTTGTCCATGACAGACATGAACTTCTGCCACTGTTATTTGCTTGACGGGTTCCGGAAAGATTGAAGGATGCTTACAGAAAGAGCTACATAACCATTATTTATTTGCATCTCACCTGTTGCCGTCATCTCCATAGGGACCTCTGCTTTTCGTCATCTTTTTTGTCTCAATGAAATTTACGTAGTATTTGTTTTGGGCTAAGAATAGTTATAGTGTTGTTTCTTCTTTATGGATTGGGTTTAGGGGGTTGCTTGTATGGTCCTATAATATAAACCATGTTCTGTAACAGCATTTTGAACCTTTGCAGTTTAGGAACAGACTGGAAAAATGAATGAAAGATGAAATCCAAAAGGTTTGTGCAGAACACACTTTCACTTTTCTGCGTTATATTTAATTTGAGTACTATAAATATCACAATTTAAAAACAAATATTTATGACATACAATAATATGAACTAATCCTTATGAAAAATCGATTAGAATACCATTTGAAACAATTGCTATACAGATCTTAATAATTGAAAAATACGTGTTCTAATTGGACCATTACCTTTTTATTAATTAATGCCAGTTACTCTTTTCCTTAGAAATATATTTTTTAAAAATGAAAAAGTAATATTAAATAAATATCATTGGTGTCCAAGACACTAGTATTTTCTATAACTTGTAAAACGTACTTTTTTTATTATTTTTCTTATTATATATATATATATATATATATATATAACATTTTTAAAGGATTTAATTAAGACGTATTCATAATATTTATTTTTACTTTAGGTGTTTTTTTCTTTGCATTTCATGTCTTTATTATTTTTTTAAATGTAATTAATAATTTTATAAAAATAGTGTAATTTGAACAAACAATATATGCAAAAAAAAAAAAAAACAGAAGAGAGAAGCTAGATTTTTCATAATTATTCAATAATGATTACTTTAAAATAAATTTGAATTTTTATTGCTAGATAGTATTAAAATTATTTAGACTACTAATAAATAAAAATATTTATTTTGTTTGAAATACACGTTTCTATATGAACTAAAATAATATAACACTTATGTGGTTACAAAAATATTTGAATATGTATTATATGATCTTATTTATTTTTATAAAAAATTTAAAAAGTTTTTTTAAAACAAAAATTAGTAAAATGAAAATTTGGCGATTAAATATTTTTTAAAAGATAAAATCATAAACTATTTTGATTACTACAATAAATATAAAAAAAATGAAAATACATGTACGATTTAGTTTTATTTTCTAATTTTTTAAAATAATTTTAGAGATAATTTTTGAAAAATTGAAAATAAATTAGAAAGAAAATTATTTGATAATTTTAAAAAATATATATTTTAAACAAAAGATAAATAAAAAATTTGAAAAATAATTTTCATAAATAAAAATAAATTATTATGATTATTGATGATAATAATAATACTCATTTAGAAAAAGAAAAAAAAAGATCTTATATTAATTTTAACTAATTTTTTAAAATAAAAAATAAATATAACATTAATAAGATAATTATTAAATAAGTTTTTTATTTTTTAAAATTTAAAAAAGAAAATAAAAACTATTTTTAAAAACATTAAAAAAATTCTTAAAATTTTGAAAATGTTTCATTATTAGCAATTCGGTAAAGTGTTTATTTAATTTAATAATAATTTGAAGCCTTAACTCAAGGGCTGGAGCAGTACTCTCCTGAGTTGATCCACTCAGCCTCAGGTTGGTTCCTTTTCTCCATTTTCATCTTCTTTTTCCAATCTTCAATTTCATTTCCTGCTTCCCATCTTCTTCAATCTTTTAATTACTTCAGATCGTTTCTGCATCTTAGCTGTCGCTAATTAAAATCTAGGTTTTGCATAAGAAACATTCATCTTATGTATGAATAAATTAATTTATTTAGTCTCACCATTACAATGAATAAGTTGTCACTGAACAGGAGCACGGTTTGCGACTGGTGAAAAGGGAAAATGGCAGAACTGAGTTTGGGAATTCTAATTGATATTGTTGATGAAGAATGGATGAGAGACACTCTACCTGATGATGGTATACTTTTACTTTTTACTTTTATTCTCCTTCCCTCCCCTCTTACAAGGGTCATTTTTTTTTTCATGGGTGATGTGATGTGCCTTTAACTTTCTTGCTGTTATTACAGATCTTCCCCTTCCCCCAACACTGGTTGTAAGGACAGATGATACTGAGGACTCAAGTATGTCTCTTTATTCACTAATTCAATAATATTTTGTGGACAATCTTTTCAGCTTGGTTTGGTAAACCAGTTTCAATCGAATACTTATTATACTGACGACAGATTTATGTTGCATTATCTAAAATTACGGTAGCATACTGTTTATCGTGAATTTAGGCAAATGTTTAAATTTTTGGTTTGGTTTTGTAGTGAAGTATTGATTTTGAATTAAAAAAATTGACTCAATTACACACTGAATAGTTCTTTTGAAAGATACCCACATTTGTGCATTAACATTTAATAGTTAATAGTATCCTCAGAAGATAGATATCTATATGAAATTAGTGTGCTGAAAGTTTTTCTTTAAGAGAAAATCCTACATTTGTGCATTAACATTTCATGGCATCCTTAGAAGAGGACACAAAACTAATAAAATTGGCTTGCGAAAGATATGATTGTTGATGCGCTTGTTAAAGTTTCATTGGCAAGATGAGTCTTTATTGAAGGGTTGTTTCTAATTTTCTTGACTATTAACACAGTGTACTTTGCTATCTCTCTCAGATCAGGAGACTCAACAAGTCAATGCAGATGCTTGGCACGATCTTGCCTTGGGTCAAGAATAGAAGTTTCATTTACTTGTATCTCATGCTTTGTAGTTAGTGAGTAGACGATGAGGCTTCCTGTTGTGATGGATTCAAAGTTTATAAACCTGTTAAGGTGATATTAAGGAATTGTGTCATTGCTGAATGCTATTTGTTTGCTGTCACGAAGCACTCTTAAGTTTTTCTGGTTTAAGCAAGTTTAGGGCAACCCGTGCCTTAAGATAGAATATTGGTGTGAATCCTGTATTGAATGATGTTAAAGTAAATGTTTCATAACAATAATAATAATATTACAATAACAATAATTAATATTTTTATAATATAATATGATATAAAGTTTCTTGAGGTATAGTGGCGGTCGATGAGTCACTAGGTTGGTTTAGTGATAGGGAGGTTGAGTAGTATGAAAGAGGTTATAGATTCTAAGCTCAGTGTAATCATCGTACCAAAAAAAATAACGGTGGTGATAGTGTTTGTTTGGAATTTATTTATTTTTAAAGAAATAGTTCCTCATTTTTGAATATTTCTTTTAGAAAAAATGAAAAATATAAGTTGAACGGTTACAAGTTGTTCTTGGTGGTTATACTAGCTGTATTCACGATTTACTTTCTTACCTGAAGGTGCTAGAGGTGAAATTTATCCAATAAAATAAGAGTATTATGATTCTTAACAATTATTATGTGTAATTTTATACAGATCATCAATTTTGTACATTTGTCAAGCTACTATTCATTCTTTCTTTGTTAGGTTATCCATGGTCTTTTTAATGACATCAGATTTCTCCGATGTACTAGGGCTCAAAACTCCATGCAATGGCCCTCAATATATGCTAGCTTTTTAACTTGTCACGATTTTGTTTAAAAAAAAAGTACATTGAATTACTTTACATGATCTTATTTTAGTTTCATGGAATAAATGGTAGGAGGCAACCATTGAGGTTTAAATTCTAGAAAGACCAGCTTGTTTGCAATGGAGGGACAACCAAAATATCATTCTGATTCAAAAATAAAGAAAACGTATCTCAGATACCCAGTCAGGAATGACACATGTAAAGAGGAAGTCATAACAAATGTCAAGTGAGTCGGAAAATAAAAATAAATGTATATTGAATGGCAGTGGATCGGCACAATTGTATACGAAATCAATAAACTGCTACATTGAACTCGTCAATTTTTAAACAGAAAATTTAAATTCAGTCAACAAAAAATTCAAAACAAGGAAAGAAAACTCTCGACATGTCACAGTCGCAACAAAATGAGACAACACCGCAGCTCGGTACCATTTTCTACAAAAAATGAGGGAAAAGGGGGAAAACAGAAGCTCGGTACCATTGTACCTTTGGAGTTTAGGCTTGTTACAAACTAATATACTAGATTTCCTTCATCTGTAAACCATTTCTTTACAAAACATTAATTATAAATGATAATTTTCCAAGTTGTGGGCATACCGATCATATAAAGGGATCATTTGCAGGAACTGTAGTTGTTGTAGGAACTGCAGCTGAACTTGGAGCAGACGTCTCCAAAACCTCTCCTGGTACTGGAGGTGGGGGGACCTCTGGGGGTGCTGGATTGCCAGTAGACGCTGCTGCTTGACCAGTTTCACCACCAACATTGGTATCTCCATCACTAGCTGGTCCAGTGGTGGGAACTCCATCATCTACTGTGGTTTCACCTGATTCTGGTTGAGGTGGAGCAGCTACAGGAGCTACTGGCGTGGAGTCTGAGGTAGCCTCTGACGGAGGTGGCTCATTAACTGATGCAGGTATGGATTCAGGCTGCTGTTCTGGTGCAACTGTGGTTGTAGGAGGTGCTTCCAGTGCCAATGGCTTGTCTGGGGGTTGTTGCGAATTCTGTGCAGCAGAAGCTGGTTTTTTCTGGATGGAGATAGGAGCATTAAGAGACATCATCCCCGGGGGCAGGATTTCAATAGGCGGTTTCTTCCCAGCATCTGCCAAACTCGTGAGCTTAGGCTCCTCAAGAGAGGCTAAAAACGCAGCTGCAGCATCTGTCTTCTGAGATGGAGTAGGTTCAATCTCTCTCTGTAGCGCTTGGTTCCAAGCCTGCACTAAGTTCTTCAAAGTTGGACGTCCATGTGCCTGTAAATAACAGGGTCAGACTACAAGTACTAAATTGAAGGATCGAGTGGTTGCATGTAACAAATCATACATGAGCATGCAGCACAGCCTCTGCCAGCATTCCAGTATCCTGCCATGCTTTCTCCATCAGAGCATTGTCACCCAAAACAGCACCAGCAAATGCAGCTTCACGTCCCAAGCCAAGCGTGACTAAGTTGTTAACCAAACCCTGCAGTGGAAGAACATATTCATTCGTTTATGAGTAAAAACAAAAACAACATTAAAACTGAAGAGCCGAAGAAGACAAGTTATTCCAAAGAAAGATGAATGTATTCCATCTCAAACAGTTATTTTAGCATGGATTGAAGGTGTCAAGTTAAAAAAAAAAAAAAAAAAAACTGGAAATTAAAAATATCAATGGAACAAATATTAGTCCTTTCTTTTTCATCAAACTATGAGCTAACTATAAAGCAGAAGCAGTGATGATCATGGCCAAAAAGTAGAGATCAATGAGTAGTAGCCAAATTAACATGCAATCCAAACAAACTCCATATTTGTGAATGAATCATATTGCCATTTTTTCTTTTGTGAATCATGGATCATATTATCTATTCGCTGCAAGAACCAAACCCAGCAAAAGCAATCTCTTTGGGAAGAATCAATTGAAAGATTTCAATCTCTTAACTGTACAAAAATAATTGCAGTCCATCTTTAACGTGTTTGAACACTAAATATACCCCAAACAGTGGTTAAAATGGATAATTAACTATATGTATTTTGTAGGGGTAGATCATATCAATCAGATAGCGAAACAATATGTAAAAAAACAACAGTTTTCCCTTCAACAGATATCTCAAATCCTAACCCCCCACCCCATTTACTGATTTCATGATTTATTCCATCAATGGTTGTTGTTCCTATAAAACACCAGTTCTTTATTCAAAATTATTTTATTAGTAATCATACAGCTCTATCTCTCTCACACAACCCCATGTTAATTAATATGCACATATGTCTATAAGAATTGTTAGATATGATTAGATATTAGTTGATATTGTTTGATATTGTTGAGATATTGTTAGATATTGTTAATCACAATATCAAATAATATATTTTTATTTACCCTATTTGTATTCTGTTACTCTTTTGAGGAGTACCTTTCTTTATTATAAATACACTGCCCTATGTGTGGTAAATACATAAGGGAAATTAACCCTATATTCAACAAGAATAAACAATTAACTGACTCAACCGTATTTGCCACAAGAGATTACAAGACTGAGCTACTAATGGCTTGATATATTCAAATGACTTCTGACCATCTGTAGTGTGTTATGTGTATGGCATCTAATAGTTATCATAGCATCATTAAACTTAAAACAATCAGTAACGAACCCAATCAATTTAGGCAATTTACTTTCATAAAGAAAGACACCAAATAAATTAACAAGAAACCATGCATCAAACAACCAAAAATCAGAGGAACGGAAGTCCAATATTAAGAAAGACCGCCTACACTTAGCCGAGTCAACTCTCCATGATTTGCAAGACGTAATGCTAATCCTCTCAATTCATGACCTTGTAAAGCACCTTTCACCGAACCTGCTGCAGCTAACCTCTTGAGAGCCTCACGGGCAATTTCACTCTGTGCAGTAGCATCTGCAGCATCAATAAGATCCAAGAATTCTTTCGCGAATTTCACTATACCCTGAACACCTTCAACAATATCTTGTTTTTTATCTGATACTTTCTCTTGTTTTTTTTCTGATAAATTAAGAATGTCATTCAAACCAAGCCCAGGAGTACCATCATTTCCTATATCCCTGCTATTACTCATGGTAAGAAGACAATGCAGAGCTCTTTTCAAATCATTGCTTTTCATTGCCAAATCAAACTCCAACCTGCAGAAATAAACATCAATATGTTTTTTACCTAACCATACCTTGCCAAAAGGATTAAACAAAAATCATAAAAATATAAGGTTAAAAATAGGCTCTTGTCTCTAAGCATACAGCATACCTCTTTGATATTCCAGGCAAATGAAGTGCTTCAGTAGCATAGCCCATTCCTAACATAAATTGTGCTAAATCATCATGATGTTCTCTTCCAAGTCTACTTGCCCTGTTTCAAAAAGTATAATGTGAGATATATATATATATATATTTGAATCATTAATAAGCAATGGTTATGGAAAAAGTGGGAGATAAAGCAATCAAAATACCATTTTACTGCACTAACAGCATCTCCGTAAGCAGCAAGGCATCGACAGCGAATACCAGGATGACTCAAGGATAAGGCATGAGCACACATGTACCTACCACAACCCAGATGTAAATAACATCATTCTTCAAACCAGTACCCAATACAAAAGGAATAATCTAAATTTAGACATGCACGTTCTAACTATGTTACCCAGAGGTCAAATCTATGACAGAAAAATTCAACCCAATGCGGAATCAGTTGCCCACTCTAAATAGAAAGGCATAAAATCCGCATCTAGTATTCCACTAAACACATTTAATTATAAATGCATAAATACATATTTTTAATCAGTGCAACTCACTACCAAGTACATAAGAATATAACTATGTGTTGACTTCTCAAGGTTTCATTAAACAATACTAAAGACCCTTCTGAGTTTTGGAGACATTTACTTTTTGGTGCATTTTCATCTGAATGAAGGGGCTTGCATGGGTATATAAAGGGCATATTCTTTAGTGAACATTTGAAAGGGTGGGGGATTTCATAGTAATTCAGCTTAATTTCATTCAATCCTTGAGGAAGATAGATAAGCATATTTTATCCTAATGTGAAAGCGATTACATTAAAATGTTTTATGCATTAAAGGGGAAAGACAGAACTGAAAACACCATAAAAATAACTGCACATATGTTCAAACTTTTGCACAAATTAAATGATACAAAGGTCTCACGTTGATTATGGA